GAGTTACTGTTGCATAAATAATTACATTTTCATACCACAAATTTAATTAAATCACAACTTAGTCATTATAATGTACATTTTACATTTTGGTACCCGAAATTTAATTTTAAACTGAAGTTTGGTTACAGTTACATAAAAATTTATATGTTGATACCCCAAATTTAATAAAATGACAACGTAGTCATTATAATGTACATTTTATATTTTGATACCTAAATTTTAATTTTAATGTAAAATTATTGAACAATTATGTTTTGGTATCTACATTTTACGAGATTTTCATACCTGCAATTTTTAAAATTTACATATCGGTCCAATTTTTAGATTTCACTTGAATCCAATCCACCAATCCTTTTGAACCAATCCACAAATCCATTCCACCATAACAATATGAAATATTAAATAAATGATAGAAGAGAGACCACTCTAAATTATTAAAAGAGCGAATTTATAACTCATTTAGTACATTTACAGGGTACTAAACAAACTTCTACTAAATACATATAACGAAATATGCGACATCTACATAAGCAAGTGTCAATAAATTGCTAAGAAGGGTTGACGGTTGTATTTACGACTACCTGAAAGAATTGGTCCAAAATTTTTCATCATCTACTTTCTCTTCGTTTCAGTTTTGACTCATCTTTCATAACTCGCTCTTAATTTCTTTCTCTGCCTTCTTTGTCCAACCCTAATTAGTATAATACTTTTTATTCTAATCACAAGTATGAACGGGTCCATACACGACTCACCAACAGTCTAGAGAAAATAATTGAACCATGAACCACTAATTTTTTTTAGCTCAATGTCGAGTCCAATTCAAAATAAATATATATGGTTATTATTTATTATAAATTCGTCATTTTTCACTATTGGATTTGAAGGCGTTAAATTTTAAGTGAGTTTCAGTATGTATTCCTTTGCTTATGTATAGAGTTCTTTTTCACCCTTGCTAGAATTTTCAACAATTATACATGGAATGTTTAGCTAGATATCTACACATATCAAATAAATAGTTATTATTTTTCTATAAAAAAGTAAATAATTATCATCTTAAATACATGACCGTAAAAAGAATTAAGTCTCAGACTCTCAGCTATGCAAATTACAGTTCTGCACCTAAACTTAATAAATCTTTAGATTTATAACGTAAATTTATTTTTTGGCATATAAGTCCTCACATATTGATGGAACATTGCATTTTAGTCCCTACAAATTTTGTGTATTACATTTTGGTACCTAAACTTTCGAAGTTCTGCAAATAGGTCTAATTTTTGTATGTGTAATTAAAACACACTCGAACAAATGGGTATTCATACCCAACTCATAATTATTTAAATTCTGGAAGTAAATATCCATACCCTACCCAAACTCATCTACAAACTTCAAGACCCATATATGCCTCGCCCATAACCTACCCATACTAAATGGGTTAACTTGGGTTTCGGTAAATATAATTTACTAGCCAAAGTTTTCAAAAAAAAATTAAATTTGATGTTGACCGCCATATATATTTTCTCATTCAATATCATATTGTCAAGTCAATATTACTAACAAAACTGCTAAAAATAGATTTAGACTAATATTACTAACAAAACATTATAACGGGCCACATAATACATGTCCATAGGCCATCTCCGCCACGCGACAAGGCGCGGCATCACCACCTAGTATATATATAGATTTCCTGCTGCCTCTTTAATTAGTTTTCAATATGATAAAATGTGGTGGTGGGTGGTGGAATCCGCAGATGAAGCGAGTTCTCATGGATTTCCCAGCTAACGTTTACGAAAATACACTATCATTGACTTTCGGATACAGATAAAGCGAGTTCTCAATTTATTAATTTGTGTCTGTAGGCTGTTTTTATCAGATTTATCTGTGCAAACAAAATTTAAATTATGAGATATTGTAATTTTGTGTGGTCCAGTAAATATTGCAGCGCCTCCACCGATTCGATCTTTCTTTAGGTAATTATACAAAATGGTATTGTAATTTTGACATTTCCTGCTGCCTCTTTAGTTTTCAATATGATAATATGTGGTGGTGGGTGGTGGAATCCGCAGATGAATCGAGTTCTCATGGAATACACTATCACTGACTTTCCAATATAGATAAAGCGAGTTCTCAATTTGATAATTTGTGTTTGTAGGCTGTTTTTATTCGAATGAAATGTTTGAACTACGATTAAACCACAATTTCAGCATACAAGTCACTGACTTTCCGGTACAGCTTCTTATATGATTTTACAAGGAATTCTAAGTCTTAGGTTTTGTTGATTCCTTCACATTCCAATACTATTTATCCTTTTTTTATTAATCTTTTCCGCTCTTTTTTGTCTTCGTTGGTATTGTTCTTTGCTATTATTTTCCATTCGTTATGGTCACTTTAATTTGTAGGCTTTCTTATTTTTTGCTTCATAACTTTTTTGGTAAACATAATTAATCAACAAGTTCTGGAATATGTATTGAGTTGAACTTTGGCGAAATAACAATTTTTATTTAATATAGACAAACGAAAAATCGTTCAGTCACATATAGTCAGAGACCAAAGAATAATGACGTTTGGAGTCGAACTTCAGATGAAAGGGCTTGTTTAGCCACACAATAGTCAGAGACCAAAGAGCAAAGTAACCATTTGTTTATATAGAAGAGTAATGTAGGTTGATATTACAGTTAGGTGCTATTGCAAAGATTCAAACTTTAAAATCTCCAAATTCAATATCAGTGATATTACGACCAGCCCAAGTACTTCTGATTCGCGGCAAACTAACATTTTATTCAAAGTGATACTACTCCAGAAGTAATAGTTAGTAAATACTCCGTTTAATACACGTATATGAACCCGTGCGTACTCTATCCGTTTAAAACTTCTGTGTCCGTATTATCGTCAAGCCGTTTCATTTTTCCTCGTTCATTTTATGGCTCCCGTACTAAACACGTATAAAACTCATATACCACGTTTATTATCCGTATTTTACAAATTAAATTGTTAACTTTAATATTATTTATACATTTATTTATTTTTAAAATGATTAATTTTATTTATTTATGAGTATTTACGTACTATTAAACATAACTTTAATTTAGTGACAAAGTATAATATCCGCAGATGAAGCGAGTTCTCATGGATTTTCAAGCTAACGTTAACAAAAATACACTATCATTGACTTTCCGATATAGATAAAGCGAGTTCTCAATTTAATAATTTGTCGGTGTAGGCTGTTTTTAGAGGAATGAAATGTTCGAACTACGATTAAACCACAATTTCAGTATAAAAGCCACTGACTTTCCGGTACAACTTCCTATATGAATTTACAAGGAATTATAAGTCTTAGGTTTTGTTGATTCCTTCACATTCCAATACTATTTATCCTTTTTCTTTATTAATCTTTTCCGCTCTTTTTTGTCTTCGTTGGTATTGTTCTTTGCTATTATTTTCCATTTGTTATGGTCACTTTAATTTGTAGGCTTTCTTCATTTTTTGCTTCATAACATTTTTGGTAAACATAATTAATCAACAAGTTCTGGAATATGTATTGAGTTGAACTTTGGCGAAGTAACAATTTTTATTTAATATAGACAAACGAAAAAATTGTTCAGTCACATATAGTCAGAGACCAAAGAATAATGACATTTGAAGTCGAACTTCAGATGAAAGGGCTTGTTTAGCCACACAATAGGCAGAGACCAAAGAGCAAAGTAACCATTTGTTTATATAGTAGAGTATTGTAGGTTGATATTATAGTTAGGTGCTATTGCATAGATTCAAACTTTAAAATCTCCAAATTCAATATCAGTGATATTACGACCAGCCCAAGTACTTCTGATTCGCGGCAAACTAACATTTTATTCAAAGTGATACTACTCCAGAAGTAATAGTTAGTAAATACTCAATTTAATACACGTATATGAACCCGTGCGTACTCTATCCGTTTAAAACTTCCATGTCCATATTATTTTCAAACTGTTTCATTTTTCCCCGTTCATTTTATGGATCCCGTACTAAACACGTATAAAACTCATATAACACGTTTATTATCTGTATTTTACAAATTAAATTGTTAACTTTAATATTATTTATATATTTATTTATTTTTAAAATGATTAATTTTAAATATTTATGACTATTTACGTACTATTAAACGTAACTTTAACTTAGAGACGAAGTATAATATCCGCAGATGAAGCGAGTTCTCATGGATTTCCCAGCTAACGTTTACGAAAATGCACTATTATTGACTTTCCGATATAGATAATGCGAGTTCTCAATTTGATCATTTGTGTCTATAGGCTGTTTTTAGAGGAATGAAATGTTTGAACTACGATTAAACCACAATTTTAGTATAAAAGCCACTGACTTTCCGTTATAACTTCCTATATTATTTTAAAAGGAATTCTAAGTCTTAGGTTTTGTGGATTCCTTCACATTCCGCTCTTTTTTGTCTTCGTTGGTATTGTTCTTTGCTATTATTTTCCATTTGTTATGGTCACTTTAATTTGTAGGCTTTCTTCATTTTTTGCTTCATAACTTTTTTGGTAAACATAATTAATGAACAAGTTCTGGAATATGTATTGAGTTGAACTTTTGGCTAAGTAACAATTTTTATTTAATATAGACAAACGAAAAATCGTTCAGTCACATAGTCAGAGACCAAATAGTAATGACGTTTTGGAGTCGAACTTCAGATGAGAGAGCTTGTTTAGCCACACAATGAGCGGCCCCTATGGAAATTGTGATGAGCAAAGTAACCATTTGTTTATATAAAAGAGTAATGTAGGTTGATTTTATAGTTAGGTGCTATTGAATAGATTCAAACTTTAAAATCTCCAAATTCAATATCAGTGATATTCCGACTAGCGCAAGTACGTACTTGTGGTTCGCGGCAAACTAACATTTTATTCAAAGTGATACTACTCCCGAACCATAGCTAGGTACAATCTTCCATCAACAGACACCAATTCCATGTGTCAAAAAAACCCATCAGGTTTGCTTAGTTGCTAACAGAATGGGTGGGTCTCATACCTCAAGAAACAATCCTTGAGAGCCCATTGCCCGCCGTCTAGACCATCGCAAGCCGGCCACAGAAACTTCTCCGCATGGTCTGTACAACGCCGGCAATCATTGCCGGACAGTGAAGAAGTACAAAAAGCATAAGCACACCAAAAAGTACCGGTGACCTCGTCGGCGGGGGAGCACTCGCAGTGCTGCTTAAGGCCTCTCCGGACAGCAGCCGCGCCGTACCTTGCCTTCTGCAGGGTCCACTCTTTTGCAGCAAGCTCATTGGCCGAGTAGTCGATTTTCTCGTCGCCGCTGCACCAGGCGTACTCGTAGTCTCCATCAAAGTCGCTTTTGACGACGACAGTTATCATTCTTGCCAACAATATCATCATCATCAACAACGTCGGAGATATTACTTTTGGAACGAAAGAAGGCATGCTCGATGTTACTTAATTTTGTTCATCGGCTAGCTGCCGTGCATAATACAATGCTTATATACTATTGCCCAAATGAGGGCATACATATATAGATATTCTCGAAGCAGAGTGGCCAGATCGAGAATATTCTTTGCGCCGGACCAATGATGCTATTGTAGCTGCAATTCCATCGTAGCGATTGTAATAGGATGAGTCGCGTATCTCAATATTCGTGCTCCTTTCTCGTTATGAAGTGTGAGCCTGGTCGGATAATACTAATTAACACACATTGAAAATTATAAATGATAGTTAGTATATTTCTATTATCAAGTATTCAAACATTTTAAAGCCCTGTATGTTCTTACGATCATTACACACTTTCATATATATCACGTGGTATGCTCTTATATATTACCAAACAATATCAATATGGTATAGATTCATACTAAATGCCTAAAAAAAAGTTATTCCAAAAATATATCAACGGAATAATTTTGAAGAACACAAATTATCTGTGTAAACAAAATTTAAATTTCGACTTAAAACGAAAGAGACATGACCGGTAATTGTACAAAATGATAATGTAATTTTGTGTGGTCCGGTAAATATTGCAGCGCCCTTCGGCCTCCGCCGACTCTTTCTTTAGGTAATTATACAAAATGATATTGTAATTTTGACATTCGTGCGAATCATCCCAATGTATCGGTTATATATTTCGTGGCAGCGTGTAGAATGCTAACACCTCTTAGTGTTTCGATCACTATTTCTCTCTTTTGATTCTCTATTCTGCAATCTAATGTTTCGTCTAGTGCAGTCTTGTTTCCATCACTCATTTGATTCTATTTTGCAGTCTAGCTAGTTTTTTTTATCCTTGAAAGTGAGATTATATTAAAAGAGGAAGTGTCAATATATATAAAATTTTTGATAATGGCGATTGATGCATTAAATAAGACCATAAACAAAGAGTTCAATACAGACAGATCACTGGCAAGATCCGACAAGTAAACAAAACAAAAAACTGTAAAATGGTCAGGCCGCTTCTGTAGCAGAAACGAAAAGAAACAGAGAAACAATGAACCAAAAACAAGAGACCGGGAAAATCACGATGTTGCCGAGGAAGGAGAAGAAGAGGTCACATCCACGCGAGAGGCAGTCCGGTTCTGGAGAGGGCACAAAATACGCATCAGAGACAGCCACTCAGTGATCTGCGAATCACTAAGAGTGCCCATCACTCTCACCCAGCTTAGTAAAGTACTGCAAATCTTGTGGAAAATCACCTATAGAATGGCAATCAAACCAGGATACCAAAATTACTCCTCAAACACTTTACTACTAGTACAACCGCCCCAACCTTTCCATCCTCCACCCAACAGCAGGGAACTACAAACATCAAGAAACTCTCCACAGCAGCTCCCACCCCTGATAAAGCAGACGAACTCCACGAATCGCCAGGGGGAACCGATCTGCAACTACACCACGACCAGCATCGCCGCAACAGGTCAGCAAATCAACAAGAGCTCGTGCAACCAAGCCTCGCCCTGAATTTATCAATCTGAACATGGGCCACCAGCCATTCCATCGCGTTCCTCGCAGCTCTTCTAGCCACCCCAATGGCAGTTGACTTCTTCTCTTCGAACACCCGTTGATTCATTTCCAACCACACAAACCACCAAACCGCATGTAAGATACAGTCTCTAAACCACTCTCCGACGTTTCCAGGTTTGGAATGAGGGCTGTGTTTGATTATTAACTTCACCTCCCTGTCTTGAAAGGACGCAACCGGTCTAACCCTGTTGATATGACTCTACACTTCCTTCACAAACTCACACTCCACCAGCATGTGGTTGATAGATTCTTCTTTTCTACAACAAAGACAGCATATGTTCGCCATCGACCACCCTCTCCTCTTCAAGTTGTCAACCGTAAGAATCTTGTTATGGAAAACCATCCACATAAAGAAGCACAGCTGGCAACGGGAAATCAACGGGAAATGAAGCACTCATAGCAACGTTTCCTGCACTATGTTCCTGTATAGAGATCTCACCGAGTATTTACTATTTGGGTCGGGATACCAAACTATTCTGCACGGACTAAGAGCAATGTTGTTCATGGGAATATTATTAAGAAAATTCAACAAATCTATCCTTTCCCGTTCAGCACCCCCCTCAAATTATATTTAAGATTAAAAGACCAACTCACCAACTCACCATTGAGGGATGCTACATCAGAAAGTCTTGCTTCGAAGTCGACGGCGTCAGCAGCAACACGGGGAAATGCAGAAGACAGCACCATCCCCTGGTTCCAAACGTCATGCCAAAACGAGATCATGGTACCATTTTCCGGGTCTAGGCTTGCAAACTTCCAAAATAACTCGTATTCTTTCGTTATGTTTGCCCATACCGATTGAGAAAAACCACTTCTAACCATTTCTGTCTGCCAAACCGAAGAGGGGTTGTGGTATTTGATATCGATAAGCTTGCGCCACCAACTATCCCTCTTCGTTGCAAACCGCCACAACCACTTGGCCAACATTGCATCATTGAAGGCTTTAAGATAATGAATTCCTAGCCCGCCCTTACTTTTCTCGGTTTTGCAAAGTTTCCACTCCACGAGGGCCCTTCTATTGATATCATGCCCACCGTTCCATAAAAACCTCCTCTGAGTTCTTTCCAATTCCTGGAGAACCGAAGCAGGTGCCTTGAATAGGGCAAACAGGTACGTAGGCATGCTCCCTAGAACCGCGGTGCACAAAACCAATCTAGCTCCATATGATAAATGTCTGCTCCCCCATCCGTTAAGTTTACACTGCATTTTGTCGATCAAGGTGTCCCAAATTGCCGGATCATTCGGTTAGGCTCCAAGGGGGAAGCCTAAATACTTCGGAGGATCTCTGCTCCATTTGCATCCAAAAATAGCATCATAGAAACTAGGGTAAGCCACATCACCGACAGTATACATCACTGATGGGCGTCGCAAAATATCATTGTATCGTCGACAAACAGGAGTTGCGTAACTTCATCGTTTTTGGTGTCTTAGTTCATGTAAAATCCTTCGAATTTTCCAGCTTCCCTGACTACTTTCAGCATCCTAGACAGAACATCCATCACTAAGAAGTGTGAGCCCGGTCAGGTAATACTAATACACATTGAAAAATATAAATGATAGTTATTATATTTCTACTATCAAGTATTCAAACATTTTAAAGTCCTGTATGTTCTTACGACCATTATACACTTTCATATATACCACGTGGTATGCTCTTATATATTACCAAACAATATCAACATGATATAGATTCATACTAAATGCCTCAAAAAAAATTATTCCAAAAATATATGAGGGGATAATTTTGAAGAACACAAATTATTTGATTTATCTGCGCAAACAAAATTTAAATCCCGACTTAAAAGAAAGAGACATGACAGGTAATTATACAAAATGACATTGTAATTTTGTGTGGTCCGGTAAATATTGCAGCGCCCTCCGCCGACTCTTTCGTTATGTAATTATACAAAATGATATTGTCATTTTGGCATTCTTGCGAATCATCCCAATGTATCGGTTATATATTTCGTGGCAGCGTGTAGAATACTAACACCTCTTAGTGTTTCGATCACTATTTCTCTCTTTTGATTCTCTATTCTGCAATCTAGTTTTTCGTCTAGTGCAGTCTCGTTTCCAACTTTCCATCACTCATTTGATTCTGTTTTGCAGTCTAGCTAGTTTTTTTTATCCTTGAAAGTGAGATAATATTATTAAAAGAGGAAGTGTTAATATATATAAACTTAAAACACAGCTATTTTCCACTAAGGTTTGTCTTAATCTCCTTGCCATAGATATAGGGGTGGGCATTCGGTCGTTTCGGTTTCGACCGAACCGAAATTATGAATACCGGGTCCCCGAATTCTCCCAAACCTCAAACCGAATTCGAACCGAATTATAATTCGGTTCGGTTTTTCATACAAAACCGAATTTGTGAAGTTACTTGTATCTTCTCACTTTTTAATTATTTTTTACCCCTAATATAAACAATAAATATGTAATTATATGCATCATCAATGATAAAATCAAACTTTTCAACACATAAGTCATAAAAAATTTCAAATATATAAGTCTTAAAACAACTACAAACATAAAAATCCACCATTTGGAGCTTGCAATTATAGTATTTCGGTTTTTCGGTGGGAAATTCGGAAATTCGATTCGGTTGAGAGAACCCTGATTTCTGAACTATCCATATTTTCTTTCCGAATTCCGAACCAAATAGCATTAATTCAGTTTCGGTTCGGTTTAATTCGGTTCGGGTCGGTTTGGATTTACCGAACCGGTTGCCCACCCCTACATAGATATGTGTGTAGTAAGAAGTACACGTGGATAACACGGAAATTAGTTATCATTAGAGCTTTATTGAAACCCTAATTTATTATTTATTGAAATGAACACGGATTTGCTATATAAGTATATAGATGGTAATTTTATTGAAACCCATGAATATTGACTAAACGTAGATTTCTAATGGAACTGAACTAAAACAAGTGGATTTATCGTTCAGTTAAAATTATTTAATTATTTTCATATTATCTAACTCAGTCTTTTAAATGAATTGAATTAAACTAAATTACTAACAAAACCAAGATGGCAAATGACTAGAGCCAAATTTCATGAGAAAAGTCCAAGTAAGAGAAAGCGTTGTATAGGCTCGAATCCTCCAATTAGTTATCATTAGAGCTTTAGAGGTGGCTATACGGTCCGGTTCGGTTAAATTGGCCCAAATTGATCTGGTTCTGGTCCGGTTTTTTCGAGAATATAATGATCAAATATTGAATTGGATACAATCCGGTCTTGATCCGGTCCGGTCCAAATTCGGTCTTGATTTTAGATTGAGTTTGTGGGGATTTGAGTGGCCTGAGGGAGAATTTGAGTGGCCTAAGGCCTCAAAAGGGTGAGGAGGTTAAATTTGGGGTGTTGGATACTCTTATCCGGTCTTTATCCGATTTTCGATCGGGTACCAAACGATTTTTTACCTCAAATCTAGGACCGAATATTGGATTGAATTGTTTGCTATCAGGTCCCGGTCCGATCTCGGTCCGGGTTATACGATTCGGTTTCGGGTAAAACCAAATAACCCGGACCAAATAGCCAGCCCTAGTTATCATGCATTTTGACAAAATGCAACATAGATACAATGATATTCCTATGACTGTAGTAATTCCCAATTTAGTGTTAACATGATATTTTCATGTATTACCATATTGTTAGCACGTTAGTTTAGAGTTTAGACTCGATATTCTCATTTACCGAAAGTTGACCAGTTAGTGCATTAAATTGAAGATTGAGTTACCGTATTAAGTGTCATACTGATCCATTTGGTTTGAACGATACGAGAAATTTATATAAGATCCGTATGATCTTTCTTTCCATGTACAGTATATTAGAGATAACTAAATTAAAAGGATTTTCCTTTTAATTTCTTTTTCCCGTTACTCCACTTCTCTTCTGTTCCTCCTTTTGTGGAACGTGTATTCCTCCACTACTTTTCTGTTGCTACATACACTGTATATTAATCCTGTACTCAATCTAATCAAATCAAGTTAGTTTTTCACAAATATTCATTCTTAGAAATCATCTCCAACATGGTATCAGAGCCCTAGCGACGTTCAGCTAGGCTTGATCCACTCTTCATCTCTGTTTTTTCGTTCTCTGTCAAAAACCTTATCATCCAGATTTTTTTTTATTCCCAATCTCAGCAATGTCAGGAACTGCCTCCTCTGCTATAATCTCCTCATCGGCGAATGAAGATTCAATCATCACCTTCAATCCCGCCGCTCAATTGCCGTTAAAGCTCACTCACACCAACTTCAATTCTTGGCGTTCGTAGCTGGAGACCCTTCTGATGGGACTCGATCTTATTGACTATATCGATGGAACCAGTGTTGTTCCTCCCTCCTCGATTACAGAGAACAGTCTGTCAATTCCCAATCCGGCGTATCGGCGTTGGTTTCGTCAAGATAAGCTTATTCTCCATGCTCTCCGTTGCTCCATTGATGAATCTTTGTATTCTTTTGTCTCTGCTGCCACTACTGCTCATGAGGCTTGGTTGATTCTTGAGAAGCTGTATGCTGGACGCTCTCAATCTCGCATCATAAATCTCAAAGGAAAATTGGCTGGCATGACAAAAGGCAATAGCGATGTCCGTACTTTTGTGAATGATCTGAAGCTTGTCGCTGCTGAGCTAGCCCTTGTTGATAAACCTGTCTCTGATATGGATTTAGTGGTTCATTGCCTGCGTGGATTAGGCGATGATTACAAGCAGTTTATAGCTGCTGTGCGTGCTAGAGGCACTGCCATCACCATCGAGGATCTGCTTGACTCTCTTATTGAGCATGAGGCTGACTTATAGGAGCAGGCGCGTCTTTCCTTTGTTCCCACGGCGTTCTTTTCCGGGCAGTCTCGCCGTGGCAGTGGCGGCAGCAGCTCCTCGGGGCATTTTTCTCCACGCAGCGGCGGCGGCAATCTGCGTCCCCAGTCTCAAGGGTTTTTTGGCCAGCCCCTTTCCAACCCATCAGCAGGCCGCCTCCCTTCCAGGCCCCATCAGCAGCCCGGCCCATTAGCTCCTGCCGAGTCCACACGCCAGCGCCGGGCCCAAGTTGTCTGCCAGTATTGTGACCGTCCTGGGCACCATGTCCGGCAGTGCTTCCGCCTTTTTCCACAAGCCCGGCAGGCTTTTAATCAATCTCGGCAGCCTTAGGCCCATCACACTGTCACTCAGCCTGGCCCATCCTCTGGGCCCTGGTTAATGGATACTGCTGCTTCTCATCATGTGACCTCTGACTTGCGCCAGCTCTCTCTTTATTCTGATTATACAGGCCCAGATGAAATATTAGTTGGTGATGGCACAGGTTTGACTATCTCGCATATTGGCTCTTCTGATCTCTCTATTGGACCGACCATTTTTTCTTTACGTGATGTTTTATGTGTTCCTGCCATCAAGAAGCATCTTATCTCTGTTGCCAAATTGTGTCAAACTAATCCGGTTTCTGTGGAATTTTTTTCCACGCATTTTATTGTGAAGGATCTCCGCACGGGGGCGCAGCTGCTGAAGGGGGGAAACAACGGTGATGTGTATGAATTACCTCGTGAGGTGGGGCCCGTTCAAATGGCTCTTGTCACTACTCGGACTTCTGCACCAACATGGCACGCTCGCCTTGGTCACCCAGCTCATCAGTCTCTTTCCACTCTTATTCGGTCTTTCTCTCTACCAGTTTCGTCTCCTATGACTGATTCCCCTTGTGATGCGTGTCTTTCTAATAAAAGCCATAAACTTCCTTTCTCTGTTTCATCTTTATCTAGTTCTCGGCCATTTGATCTCTTGTACACAGATGTTTGGGGCCCCGCTCCGGTTTCTTCCATTGATGGTTATCGTTATTATCTAGTTATTATTGATCACTTTACTCGATATACCTGGTATTATCCTTTGCGATATAAGTCTGATGTTCTCCAGGTCTTTCTTTCTTTTCGCAAAATGGTTGAAAATTATTTTAGTACCACTATTCGTCGTCTCTACACAGATGGTGGTGGTGAATTCCAAAAATTACGTTCTGCCCTTGCTGATAATGGGATAACTCATCTCCTCACCCCACCTCATACCCCGGAGCATAATGGCCTCGCTGAGCGTAAACATCGACACCTGGTTGAAACTGGTATTACCCTGCTTCATCATGCCCACCTCCCCACTTTTTTCTGGTCCTATGCGTTTTCCACCGCTATTTATCTTATTAATCGTCTCCCCTCCTCTGCCTTACGTGGTAAAATTCCTTATGCTCTCCTTTTCAATCTGGCCCCTAATTATCATAAATTGCGGATTTTTGGGTGTCTTTGTTATCCATGGCTTCGTCCTTATTCCGCTCATAAACTTGATCCCCGCTCTCGCCCGTGTATTTTTCTTGGGTATTGTCCTCAACGCAGTGCTTATCGCTGTTTTGACCCCAGTACTCACCGTCTTTTTCTCTCCCGCCATGTCACCTTTGTTGAGACTCGATTCCCCGAATTTTGTGATGCCCCTCCTGCCCCACAATCTTCCACCGCCTCTTGGCTTCTTGACACGTCCCCCACCATTATTTCCATTCCTATTCACCCTTTTTCTGCAGGTACACATCACTCGGTTTCCCTCCCGCACGCAGCAGCTCCAGCCCGTGCCGATCCTGGGCCCTCTATATCTGGGCCGCCCTCTCAGCCTGGGCCGTCATCCGCCTCTCGGCCTGTCACTGCGGCTCCTGTCGCCCCGCTCCTCACTCCACAGTCTGGGCCACAGGCTACCTCCGGCCCATCCCCCGCGGCCCCAGGCCCGCCCCCACCCCCTGTCCGCACTCACTCCATGCGGACTCGGGCCCAGCATGGCATCTACCGGCCCAAGAAGCTCCTCTTCCATTCCCAGCGTGTCCCCGGGCCCCCTCCCCTTGAGCCTGTTAATGTGCAGGAGGCTCTTCAATATAAGGAGTGGTCTGACGCCCTTTCTGTTGAGAACTCAGCCCTCTTGGCCAATCACACATGGGATTTGGTTCCCAGGCTTCCACATTACAATGTTCTTGGTAATCGTTGGGTGTTTCGCGTTAAACACCATTCGGATGGTTCCATCTCCCGATTCAAAACCCTCTTAGTGGCCAAAGGATTTCATCAGCGTCCTGGGGTTGGCTTCACAGATACTTTTAGTCCGGTTGTTAAACCGGTCACCGTTCGGACGGTTTTTTCCTTGGCTCTTTCTCACAATTGGCCTATTCCTTCGTTCGACGTCAACAACGCTTTTCTTCAGGGTCCTCTGCAGGAGGAAGTTTATATGGTTCAGCCCCCTGGCTTCGTTGATCCTGATCGTCCTCATCATGTTTGTCGTCTTCGCCGAGCTATTTATGGTCTTCGCCAAGCACCCCGGGCGTGGTATACTGCCTTGAGCTCTTTTCTTCTCGAGTTCGGCTTCACCAAGACACACTCTGATGCTTCTCTGTTTGTGTATTCCCATGGTTCGGCTCTTCTCTACTTCCTCGTCTATGTTGATGATCTGCTGCTCACCGGTAACGACCCTGCCCTGCTCTCCACTTTTCAGCAGGCTCTGTCCGCCCGTTTTTCGCTCAAGGCCCTCGGGGAGGTCAACTATTTCTTGGGCATAGAGGTTATTCCTACTTCTACTGGTTATATTCTGTCTCAGCGCCAATACATGGTTGATCTTCTCCATCGTTTTATGATGCTTGATGCGAAGCCTGTTGACACACCCATGTCTGCCTCCACCTCCCTCACTCTTAACGATGGCAGCTCCCCTACTGATTCTACACGCTTCAGGCAGGTTATTGGTGCTCTTCAGTATCTGGTCTACACTCGCCCGGACATCGCCTACTCTGTCAACAAGTTATCTCAATATATGCATGCACCTACGGCTCATCATTGGCAATGTGTCAAACGCCTCCTTCGCTATGTCGCCGGTACCCTCTCTTATGGTCTCTCCATTCGTCGCTCTGCCAGTCCCTTGGCCTTGACTGCCTTTGCTGATTCCGACTGGGCTGGCGATTGTGATGATCGTTCCTCCACCTCAGGGTATCTGAGCTACTTTGGCTCCACCCTCATCTCCTGGCGCTCGCAGAAGCAGCGCACCATGGCCCGCTCTAGCACTGAGGCAGAGTATCGTGCCATCGCCCATGCGACGGCTGAATTGGAGTGGATCCAAAATCTTCTCCTCGAGCTCAAGCAACCTCTCCAGTCCTCTCCGACGCTCTATTCCGATAATCTTGGTGCTACCTCATTCAGTTCCAATCCTGTCTTCCACTCCAGAATGAAGCATCTCGCTCTTGATTATCATTTTGTCCGCCAACTGGTCCAAGATGGTCGCCTGCGCGTCTCCTATATACCCACGGCTCACCAGCTGGCCGATTGTCTCACCAAACCGCTACCCTCCACTCGGTTTCTTCTTCTTCGGTCCAAGATCGGCGTCGTTGATACCTCCACCGTCTTGCGGGGGCGTATTAGAGATAACTAAATTAAAAGGATTTTCCTTTTAATTTCTTTTTCCCGTTACTCCACTTCTCTTCTGTTCCTCCTTTTGTGGAACGTGTATTCCTCCACTACTTTTCTGTTTCTACATACACTGTATATTAATCCTGTACTCAATCTAATCAAATCAAGTTAGTTTTTCACAAATATTCATTCTTAGAAATCATCTCCAACACAGTACACGCTTGAAATGCAGGACAAAGAGAGAAAAAGAAAAACAGGATCAATTAAACTTCAATACCTTTTTTTTTAGCTCATGATGCATACATATATATCATCCATCATTTCTCCTTGTCAGCTTCCTTTCTCTTTTTTTTTTTTTATAATAAGGGTGATATCGGCCTCGAACTTGTGAACAAAGAGAGAAAAAGAAAAACAGGATCAATTAAACTTCAATACCTTTTTTTTTAGCTCATGATGCATACATATATATCATCCATCATTTCTCCTTGTCAGCTTCCTTTCTCTTTTTTTTTTTTTATAATAAGGGTGATATCGGCCTCGAACTTGTGACCTCTGGTATGAACACCGGCAGAACCCGATTTTGCCATTTTAATGCCCTTTCTTTAAAGTGGGTTCGGACACTCTGTTATTAGATAGGTCTCGTACCTCAAGGAACAACTCACAACGGTGATTTGGGCGCCATATTTATTGATACATATGTTCTCATCCAGCAACTGGTTTCTACTTTCTACAATGCATCATACAAGCGGTACAATCTTTCTGAGCGACGGAATCTGAACATGTTGCCTTGTAATACATCGGGGGTTGGTCGTAAGTCCGGCCGCAAACCTTGCCACCGGGCGTTGTGAGCTTGATGGCACCGGTGGTGAGTTCCCTAGCCTGATCATGCCTGTAACAGCTCACATCGTACTCACCGCCGCAGAAACCCGAGACGATAGTTAGGTCTGGATCTCCTTGGACGACGACGACGAAGAATCGGAGAACTTCCATGGTAGTGATGATCAGTAGGAATAGAAAGGGAAGGAAGAAGGGTATGAAGGAAGAATTAGCCATGGTGAAGGAATTAGCCATGGTGTACTAGTCATACTCTCTTTCGATCCTCTTTTGCAGTCTAGATTTGGTCTATTGAAGTCATGTTGCGTACCACTCATTCTCTCCTTTGATTCCCTTTTACAGTTTATCACCCTCATTTGATTCTTTCTGGCAGTCTTTGTTCTGTCCTTAGGGCGGTGCAATCCATGCAAGTAACAAAATATGATTGGTCCATTTCCTATAATAAATCTACCAAAAAAATAATAATAAATCTACTGAAGGCCAAAATATATATATATGAAGATATTGATACACAGAATCTCAAGATCTTCTTCTTCGATTATCCACTTCGTTTTGAAGTTCTCACTACTAGAAATCGAATAAGAAATTTAGGGTTACCGATCTGGCTGAGTCGCGGATTAGGGTTGCTCTCTTTAAGACGTTCGCGGCACTGCCTCGTATTGCGCACAGCAGACTATCAGTCGGTCGCCTCCAGGATAAAACAACCACTCTGATTTTGTTGCTCATCATGTTTTGTGCGAAAACCGGAGTTCTATGAACTCACTCTTTCTCCTGTTCCTGCTATTCTGAGGTGTGTTTAGAGGGTCTAGGGGTCTGCTATTTATTGGAGCAGAAACCCAGAATATACCCTCTTTCTTTGAGAATAAATCACATTTTAATTAGGAAGAAAATTACTCCCATAATTAAAATATATTATATTCAAACTATTAATCCTAATTATCTCTATAATATTCTTGTTATTAATTATCCTTCTTATTTTCGTATCTAGAAAGAATACTGGATAATTAAGTCAAGATAGCTTTCAAAGCTATTCGTTCCCAACACTCACTTCATAATTTTATAAAATAACCATAAAAAAATTTACGAAACAATAGGTCTGTATATATGTTTGGTACAAACGAGGATGAATTTAATTAATGACGATTATAAAGAAAAAATTGTAAGTAGAAGTGAATGAAGTAGTCAAAAGTATAATTTATAGTGGAAACGTATAACTGCCACCACCATTCAAAAAATCCTGCCTTTAGAGTGATTTTCGGTGTGCTGACGTGGCTGGGATTTCAGCCGGCGGTTTCCCTCTCCGCTTCGGTTGAAGATGGTTGAAGATTGTGAGTTGTGAGTCAGGTTACCTAATTCGTTGGTGTAGGGGTGCCGCTCCCGTGCGAGAGCGCCAAAACGCGCTTCCAACAAATCGTAAGAAAATCGCGACTTATATTTATCCGGAGCGCGAATTATAAAGGGATAGAGTGCGGATCCTGAAATTCAGATTGCTAAGCTTGAAACTGACCAATAGCTAGCTATGAATTGGGAAGGAAATCGTTTATTTGCACAAGTTAATACCTTCCCCAAAATCTGGCTTCTAAAATCGAGGAAATCAAAGAACGATGGGTCAGCGACATATGCAGAGGTTGTTCTCTGGCTGTGAAAAAACCAACCTCATATGAGACTGGAAGAAGAGCTCGAGGAAAGAGCAATACTTTCTCCCTAAATTCTACAGAGAAGAAGAACAAAACAGAACAGAAGCAGAATTTGAAGGAACAGAAAATCGGAAACAAGATACATAATGGAGTTGCAGAGTTTGGAACTGCTAATAGAGAGAAAGGCGGAGTTAACAAGGAAGATGGAGAGTTGGCTTTGTGGTTTTCTTTTTTCTTTGTGCCACGTGTATCATCAAATTGATTTTAGTTTTGAGTTATCCGCTTGATTTCTCTTTTAAGACTTTGAAATTTTTGCATAAAAAAAGAAAACATTGGAATTGGGATAAATTTCTTTCAATGAAACTAACAAGTAATAACCATGCAACTTAAATATTTAATTATGTATTTGTATTATGTACATATAATTCATAATATGTTTAAATATATATCGACGTTCTCATCCCGCTCTCGCTCTCGCTCCGCGAACTGGTTACCTAAGTTGTGAGCAATCTTATATGCGCCTTCCAAGGAAGCAGATCTGGGATATCATAACCGTAGTGCGAAGCAGAAATGAGAACAGCAAGCGTCTATATGACGACTGCACAAGAGGTAAAGGGTGAGATCTCTCCTTTTCACTTTAATTTCCAATCTATTTCTTTAAGATCTCATGTCCATGTTCCCTTTTCTTCACACACGTATTTCCTTAATCTTTTTTTTTTTTTTGGAACCATCGAAGCTCGGAGCAATCAAATGACGGCTTTTAGAGCTCCTAGGTGGATTATGGTCCCATATTTTTAGGATTAATTGTGTGGTTAGATGATCGTTCATCTCTCCATCTCCAATCGATTCGGTGTTTTTGTCTCTCTTCCCCGAAGCATTTGTTTAATTGATTTGAAGGAGTTAGCAGCGAGTTCACTGTTAGAAATTCGTTCATCAATTTGGGGAAAGGCCAACAAAATCAGGGTACTGGACGTATGTGATCCAGTGTTTTGCTGTTGTTGGAGTTTTTCCGCTGGTGGGTTTCTTTGGACACAGGCGGAGTTGGAAGCCTCAAGGAGCATATTTGGGAGATCTGGAGAGGAACCAGAGAAGATTCAGACCTAGAAACTGTCTTTGATTTCAGGTTATTTATTTCTCTTATATAAGTCTGTTTTTCTTTTTTGCAGTTCCATTAATCCCCCAAATCCGTCGGTGCTACATTTCATTTCATGAGTTTTCTTTCCCCTTATGACCCAAAAGTCAGCATGATAGGGAATTGGAGTTGTAACGAGAGTCGATGAGTTCCTGGTGGTGTTTTTTCCTTCACCTGCAAAACAATTAAGGCTGAGACCTTTGTATCTCTATCTATCATAATTGAATTGGTAATTCATTCATTCATTCATACGCTGTTCTATTAGTTTTAGTGAAAAGGGTTCACCTGCCGGAAACTGTAGATAATGACCCAATAAGGTAATGCATTGAGGGTGTCTTGGGGAACAGATGACAATCTGTCAAGTAGAGCTACGAAAACACACCAGCCATGAGCTTCCCCTTTAATGTTGTCTTTTCCTACTTTTTTTGTAAGTAATCATGAATTCATATTTCACCTATTGTATTGTGTCATTGTGGCTGCCTGCTTGCTGAGATACCTACCCCTGAGCTATTGATCTTGCAGGGATTATAAGAAGTCATTCACAATTTTTCATGACTTGATTGATAACCGACGGAGAAATACCAACGCGGTGAAGGAGCAGGGATATTTTAGTAGCTTCCACGACTAATGTGCACCAATTCCCAGGTATTTGTTCCTCCCTGCACAAGTTTTGATTTTGGTTCTTTCACCTTCATTCATTGTCCACGTAATTATTTTCAAAGACTTAGTTAGGAATATGCAATTACAAGCCTTTTGGTGTTAATTATTCCAACAGGAGAATCCTTGATTCTAAAATTTTGCTCTAAATATGTACTGAAGTCGAAATTAGAAAGAGAATATGCATGACTGGTAGTGCTGCGATTCGCTGTGGTATTTTGAACAAATGGTAGTGCGAGCACATTTTGGTAAGGAATCCCAAAAACACGATCATAGGAGTCAAACTTATCTAGCGCAGATTGTGTATACTGTATAGATAAAACCTGCAGTTATTTATGTCATGTAGATATGTTTGCTGAATAGCTTTGTTTTCTGCTCAAATTTTCTCAAGTAATGTGTGCTTGGCTTTATAGTGAAGTTGTTGGTTATATGCTTTGCGCCGACACTAGACATGATAGTATCAACCACTTTAAAGTTTGGATGTGAAATTGGGATAAGAAAGGAGGATAGAATCCACAATTTTGGGTCATGAGTTAATCGAAATCTATTGCTTACTAACTTGCATGTGATGTATACAACTCCCAAGATGTAAGATTGGGTAAAGACCTGGTACCTGTTTAGTCAAAGGGACAAGTTTGTTAGGTAACCTGGTTTACGCTTTAATATCTTTTCTCTTTGTCCTTCTTGGTACTTGAATGGAATATAGAACAAATAATAAACTGAGTTCTTTTTTTCCATGATATTTTTCTAGAACATTTGGTCTGTTTTGGAACCATGGGGAATGTGTTTGTTTGGTAGCAAAACATAGTTCTCATAAGTTACCTGGCTAACGCAAACAATTGAGTTTGAGGAAGTTATTATATGTTGCGTATTGTGGTTTCATTATTTCACACAATCTCACTTTTATAGCTCAAAAGCTTTTTTCTTCATATGGAAATTTGACCTCTACCTACTGGGTTGCTCTATATTCTTATAGAGTTAGGGTATTAAATTTGATTTGTTCTCTTTTGTTTAATTGCATATAGTTTCATTTTGCCTATTGTGAGTTTTTGGATTACGGTGTTTGTAAACGACTATCGATTTGTTGTAAGATGTTATGCCATGATTCCTAGGAATTTATGTGGCTGATCAGTCGGTGGGTTCGTCATAAACTGTAGTGCTAACAGAACTATATGCATATCGTTTCCTGCCTACTATGCCATGATGAATTAACTTTCAAACATATTCAAATGATATGGCCGTTATAATTTATAAAGATGATGTGTTGATATGGTATTATTGCTAAGCGATAATTCAGATAATTTATATTCATGTTACTATCTTGTGCTCTAAACTTTGAAGCGCAATATGATAATTAGGTTTTTTGTCAAACAAACAAAATTTACTCACTACACAACAACAACAAGTTCTTAATAGTTCAAAAAGTTGAAGAACTTTATACATGGAAACAAAATATTACCCTTAACATATCTATGTAGTTGTATAGTGTGGTAATATCAATATATATTTCGTTACCACCCAATACCATATGGTATAGAGTCATAATATCAATATATATTATCTAAAAGGAAAAAAAAAACAGAAGGAGGGAGAGGGAAAAAAAATTCGTCTTCTATTTCGTCTCATTTCCTCCGCAATCAAGAACACCAAACGCCAAAAAAGGGAGAAAGACCGAAATTGAGGCCAACGAGTTGATGAAGAGACAAAAAAACGCAATGAAAGAGGGTGGCTGCAAATTTTCTTCGTCGATTACTGGGGAGAAAAAAATGAAAAAAAAAAGAGAAGGAAGCAGATCTAGATATGGAGAAAGA